CTGCCGGAATAAAGCAAAGAGTATTTTAGAACATTTATTATATATTTGTGAGACATTTATATCACTTTATGAAAGTATTTTTTAACAAAAAACGTTTCCATATAATTTTCATACCTTAAATAATTTTCTATTAATTAAAAATATCAAGAAAAGTCAATATAACTAAGTTTTAAGGACGGGGAGTATATAGGGGGTGTTTGGCAATTGGCTGTTGGCGGTTAGCTGTTGGCTGATTGTGTAAGCGGTTTAACTATAGCTGTTTCTGTTGGTTGTTTTGATTAGCTGATAGTATTAGCAGTTTGTAAAATGGTGTTTGGTTGAAATGGCGGTTTACAATCAGCTGATAACTTGTCAAATGACCTTTAAGGACATCAATTAAAAAATTTTAATCGTGCACTTATATATATATATATATATATATATATATATATATATATATTACATGTTCATTTTTTATTCCAACGTACTACGTATGGTTTAAACATACTGGAGCATATGGTTTAATTTAAACATACTGGAGCATAGTTTTTTTCACCATGACGGGATATGAATTGACAATATATTGGAGCATATGGTTTAAACATACTGGACCATATGATTTAAACATACTGGAGCATAGTAAATTTTATTTCTCCATGATGGGATATGAATTGACAATATACGGGAGTGTATGGTTTAAACTTTAAACATACTGGAGTACGGTTTCAACATAACTAGAGCATAGTTTTATTTTTCCATGATGGCATATTATCAAGAATAATTATATGGGCTTGTTTTATTATTTTTATCCATTGGGCCTTATGTTAGTAGTAAGCCTTTATTGTATTTAGTAATAGGTATATATTTCTGGAACAGTGTAATTTTAGGTTAAGGCTTTCATTTCAATTCCAAATCTTCATCCGCTCCAGAGCTCTGTAAACTCTTCTTCGATCAAGTTCTTCATTCATTCATCAGATTTCTTCCATTCAAACATTGTTACATATGAATTGACAAAATACTGGAGCATATCATCATATGGTTTAAACATACTGGAGCATATTTTTATGTTCGAATTATTCAAACAGAAAAATATATTTATGGAACATAAGAAACCATTGCTTGATACAATAAACCATACCTTGGAGTCGTAGCTTTCAGAGAGTCAAGTCTGCCAGTATTTTCTCTTTGACGTGAAGCTGCGAGGAAGACGAGAAGCCAACGAGCCAGAAGGAAAAGGGGTGCAGGGTATCGTAGGAACATTACGATGGCAATAGAAGCAGCCAATGCCTAAACGCTAGGTTTATTGGCATTTTTTATTTTGGCTGTTTGGGCCAAAAAGTCAAATTAAAAATTTATTTTACCAAACACACATATTGGCTGATTGATCTGGTCAAAAGGCCGATATTGGTCAAATCAGCCAAAAAGTAGCTGATAGGCCATTAACCAAACACCCCCATAAACTAATAAAAGTAGGAATTAATCATATTAATTACTTAATTTCAAAAATAAAATCTGAATAAAACATTTATGTAATTAAAGATCAGATATATACTTAGAAAGATCTTGTCTAAATTCATATATTATTTGATCTAAATTCATATTATTGTTACTCAAAGAGATGAGGCATACCCCAAATTACTCAAAGAGATTATGATACGGACCATTCCGTATATTTGAACTTAACACTAGTGTGTAATAATTAAATTTAATACGGCGTATGAATTGTCTTAGCATTACCGTACGTCTGCTCCGTTACGTGCTCAAGTGCTCATGCTCCTTAAAATTTCACCCTATTTGGCAAATAAATTTAAAACTATCCTAATTTGGGAAATTTCACCTTATATATTTTTACTAGTTTTGTGTCGCGCGTTGCGCGATAGGGTAATGCCCAATATTTTCTAGATAAGTTAAACATTATGTTTTTTTGTTTGGTAGAAAAAAAGGATGACACTCCATCCTGAGCCCCTCCAACACCGACCGGACAGAACGATGGAGAATGTAAATTGAACTATAATCATAATCTGACAGATAGAGAGTGGGGCTCCATCCCCGGTACTTGCAAAGGCCCTATGCATTTTTAACATAGTAACCTCTCATCGCAGTTGCCGGGATTCGAACCTGGGACCTAACCCTTGTGGCACTCCCTCACTACCAATTGAGCTACCACTTCCCTAACCCTTTGGTAGAGAAGTCCATGAAACAAATGAAACAATGGAAAAACAGATCCAAAAAGATACGCGGTGTTAAGAAGACAAGGCTGGAGATGATGCTAAGGCAGGAAAGAAGAAATAGTTTTAATGCATCCGAAGCCCTAATGTTTACCTCTACAAAGAAATGGATTTTGTTTTTTAATGATTTGATTTGTAGACAAGTTGTAAGCTAATTTTGGTATTGTTTTATAGCATTTACCCATTTGAGATGTCTCATCTGATAAGAATTTTACTCTCTTTTCACTCCATTCATCCAATGATCTCAACCACTAAGCTAAGATCTCCATTGCTTAAAAAAAACTAATGATTTTGAAAACGAGGTGCACAATCCAATATCGCCCAAAACGTGAGGTGTAAAGTCACATTCACCTTATATATATTCTTTCATATGTAACACTAATAATTAAATTTGTAGGATGAAAAGTATTTATCCTTTATGAGTAGCTTAAAAAAGTATTGTACCTGAAAGCTGAAAGATAATTAAATTTGGAATTCGTTCATTTATGAGCAACTTAAAAATAAGAGCACCCTAGAAGATATTTATATATAACTTCTTCTGTATCAAAATAGGTGTCACATTTTTCATTTTTGGGAAGTAACAAAATAAATGTCACATTTTATTTTATAAAGAAATCTACCCCAAAAGCAGCTACAGTACACTTTAATAAAGTAAACAGTGCTACTACAGTATAAAAATCTCCTACTTTTAGAAAAATGTACAGTAAATATATAAACTATCTTAAATTACGTGAAAAACATATTGAATCACTTATTACGATACAAAGGGAGTATAAAATAGTAACATAGGAGGAAAATTTAGAGTATTAGAAGAAAAACCACACCTACCAAATAACAAAGGAAATGAACAAATTAATAGGGAGCATGCAACTCCAAATCTATCGAACATATTGTAGATTTTTTTTTAACTTGAACTCATTTCATTCTCAACTCATATTAGACCTGACCAAATCATATTTAAATAGATCAAATCGGATTTCGAAGTTTTAGAATACACATACAACAAACATCAAACAGACCAGACATGATCACGCATACCATATCAAATTAAATTATACGGAGTACTAAATTAGATTAGAACAGAAAATTGCAATCTAATTATAAACTATTAAGGGGGTGTTTGGAACTGATTCTGATTTTGCTTATTTTTTGAAGTAGAAACGAAATCAGAATCAGTTTTCAGAAGCATTAGACACCAGAATCATTTATGTACTTTCAACCAAACACTCCAGTTTTGGAATCAGATCCAAACACCCCCTAACACTATTATCCAACCCGCCAAGTTTATGCCTGAAGTTTAATTTGGAATCTATTGTGACCTATTAGACAATTGAAAGAAACATTGGGCTAATCATACCGGTGGAATACAATTAAACAAAGAAAGGGAGTGAAGAAATTAAAGGAGTTCAATCGTCAAAATTGAAAGGGACTAAGTGATTATTTTTCACAATAAAAGCTAACATATGTAATTAATAATCACTTTAGAGCATACAAACAATAACGGAGAGATGGAGTAAAACTTAACAGAGATAGTGTCATAATTGGATACAGAAATGGTTGTACAATAATTTAAGCTTATGGATCAAGTTAATATTGCTTTGGTGTTACACCAACATTTTTTTGATTCCTAAAATACCCTAACCTTCATTGGTGTTTATAAGATTTTAGATTAGATATAAATTGGGGATATGTGACTCTTTGTTACGGTATGCTTCAAAAAAATCAAGGGAAAACTGTCAAATAGGTCCTTAAACTTTCATAAAAAAGTCAATTAAGTCCTTCTATAGGAGACTCTGTCCGGTCATCACGATTTGGGGCGGTTCCCGGTGGAATTTTTTGATGAAATTTTTAGAGTATCTTATTCATCAAGTCTAGTTTACTCATACCAAATTTTAGCTAAAAATTTAATCGGGAGCGCATTCAAATTAATTCGAGAACGCAAAAATGCGCAGTTATTTTCAAGAATTAATTTGAATGTGTTCTCGATTAAATTTTTAGCTGAAATTTGGTATGAGTAAACTAGACTTGGTGAATAAGATGCTAAAAAAATTTCATCAAAAAAATCCACCGGGAACTGCCCCAAATCGCGACGGCCGGACAGAACCTCCTATAGAAGGACTTAATAGACCTTTTTATGAAAGGGATAAGGGTCAGTTTGGTCCTCGAAGTTGCAAAAGAGGGGTCAAATAAGTCCTTATATAGAAAATTCTGTCTGGACGTGCCATTTGAGGTGGCTCCCGGTGGAATTTTTTGATGAAATTTTTTGAGCATCTTATTCATTAAGTCTAGTTTTTTCATACCAAATTTCAGATAAAAATTCAATCGGGAAGACATTCAAATGAATTCTTGAAGATAACTGTGCCGTTAAAAGCGCAGTTATCTTCAAGAATTCATTTGAATGTCTCCCTGATTGAATTTTTAACTGAAATGTGGTATGAGTAAACTAGACTTAATGAATAAGATGCTCAAAAAATTTCATCAAAAAATTCTATCGGGAGCCACCTCAAATGGCACGTCCGGACAGAATCTTCTATATAAGGACTTATTTGACCCCTTTTTTGCAACTTCGAGGACCAAACTGACCCTTTACTCTTTTATGAAAGTTGGAGAACTTATTTGACAATTTTCAAAAAAATCAATGACACTTTGTTACGAGGACTTGCCGCCGATAGATGTCCTAAAACCGGACGCCCAAAATTGTGCTTGTCAATCATAGCAAAAAACCCGGTCTAAGCCAGTAAGTCCCAAGTTGTTATGAGTTTGTTTGGTCAAACACATTATGGAGCCAAGAATGGCGGGACAACTCCCAGCAAAATAACTGAATAACGATACTTCTTCAGCTCATCCTTTACGGGGGAACTCAAGGAATCGGGAAATGGATTCTTCTTCAACGTCTAAGCAAGGCCGGAAACCGCCTACACTGAATCAACCGGACATCTACTCAACCGTCGTTTTCCACGGCACCGACACGGAAAATGAGCAGACTCGCGACGCCGTCTCTGTGTCGAAGGGCCATGCTTCATTGGAATCTGAGAATGACACGCAGTCCGTTGGCGGCACAATGATAGTGAAGACCAATCGCCGCAGACCTCGGTCCGAGACGATGTCCTTTCTCGATCGAACGGAGAAGATCCGCAAGAGTAGAACTGGTGAAATCGGGGAGGAGGGCGTTGAGGAAGGGGATTTCTCTACATTTGTAATGAGGGACGGCGAGATTGAATCGGGGACCGTGGTGAGGAGAACGAGCGGAAGAGGAACTGGCGAAGAGAGCGGATTGTCTACGATGAGAAGAGCTGTCGCGAGTATGCAATCTATGGAGGAGATTGGGGCTGGGAGGAAGAGGAAAGGTGGTAATGGCGGTGCATTGGAGGAGGAAATGAAGCAGGTGCATGGGAGTAAGGTGTCTTCCAGCTCCTTTCCAGATAGTGTGGCGAGGGAAGATCCTTCTACGAAGTATGAAATTCTTCACGAACTCGGTAAATTTTACTTCTTGCTTTTCACTTTCCACGTTAATTACTTTGCCTTGATATAAAGTAGTTGATTATATACCTCCTAAAAAATTTGGTGCATAGAGCATATTCAAAATGCATTAAGCGAGAATTACGGCGATTTAAGATTTGATGCTACTCAGGTTATGAGAAGAATTGAGAGTATATGAAGTTTCTTATGGTGCATCTTTTACTGCTTCTATCATGTGCTTAGCAACCTATTTTAAAATATGGCTGGAAGTTTTTGTGTAAAAATTAAGTGATTGAAAGGGGGAAGGAACTGGGCATGGCAGGAAAGGGTTCATATGGTGCTGTTTACAAAGCTCGAGATCTGAAGACTTCGGAAATGGTTGCCATCAAAGTGATATCATTGTCTGAAGGGGTTTGTTTCCTCAGCAGTCTATGGTTTTCTTAACATATTGAATCTGTTTTTAAGCATACAATTTTTTTTTGTAATTTGAAATGCATTCAGGAGGAAGGCTATGAGGATATCCTAGGTGAAATTGAGATGCTACAGCAGTGCAGTCATCCAAATGTTATTCGCTACTTTGCGAGCTATCAAGGAGACGAATATCTTTGGGTATGACCAAATGTATGGATTATGCGACAACTAATGCTTCAACGGAATCAACGCTTAATAAAAAGAGTTAGTTATGTGTGTAACTAGTGGAACCCATATTATGTCTTTTTTGTTTATTGAAGCTTGTGCTACTTTCTACGATTTAACAGATAGTAATGGAGTATTGTGGGTGTGGAAGTGTTGCTGGTTTAATGAATGTCAATGAGGCACCACTTGAGGAGCACCAAATAGCATATATTTGCAAAGAAACATTAAAGGTAAGTAGGTAATCTTGGCTTGAACGTTAAAGAAGTGCATTAAGTTCTTGGTCTGATGAACAGTCAACAGAGAGGCATTTGACAGGCGAACCACCTGACTGATAGGATATTTGAGGAATTCTTCAAGGGCGTCACATATTAGTTGGATGGTGATGGAACTCGCTTTTTCTGAGTCTGGCTAAACATGGCAATTGTTTTGCTAGAAATGAACAGCCGTCTCTTGGAACAAATAACAAAAGTAAAAATCAATGATAATAATAAATCTTAGAAATGAACGGTCATATCTTGGCTCATCCTAACCCCTATCTCAGTTCAGATGTTCAATTTCTTTCACTCATTTCTCTTTTGAAACTTGATTCTAGAAGAAAAAGGAACACAGAAAGAAGCATAAAATACTTCCACCCATGTAGTGCCTGCAAGAAGCTCGGGGCTATTGGATAACAATGACACGTGAGAGTGTGATGACTGAAGGCTTCTGCCTTTCACTTTTTTAATAACAAATCATTTAAAATCCACTCTTTCATGATTAATTATTTATGACTCTTTATTTATCTGAAGTCTGAACTATCATTACTCTGTCATCTCATGCAGGGCCTTTCCTATTTACACTCCATATTTAAAGTACATCGAGATATCAAAGGGGGTAATATATTGTTAACTGATCAAGGAGAGGTTAAGTTAGGTTAGCATCTCCATTTAGACCATTTACAGTTTCGTGTAACCTCTTTGTATTTTGACACTGCATTCTTGTTCTTTATTTTTTCAGAACTTACAGCTGACCCCTTTTGTTTGAGGTTAAGCCTATATGAGTTCTTGTTGTTTTTGTTTAGAAGCTACATATCATTCCTTAATTTCATTGTTAGGTCATATTCATATCTTATTAGTTTATCTCCCTAAAACATGTGCATCACTATCCTTAATATAATTTCTTACTGAGCCCCAATTTGTAATAATTATCAGTATGAGCAGGTGATTTTGGTGTTGCTGCACAGCTAACTAGAACAATGTCCAAGCGTAACACGGTATTTTTGTCAGCTGCTTAGCTTTATCGCTTCGTTAGGACTTCTTAGATTTGTTTCCTATACTTTGGCAATTGGCATGATATAGCTACTTTCTAATTGGTATAGGACTAGAAATGAGTTTTTTTATGGAACTGTGATTATAATATACACTTAGTTACTGAAAGTGACAGTTTCCGTTATGGTGGAGAAGATTTTCATGAGTTATGCATAAAATAGAATTAGCTTTTACAACAAATCTTACTTTGTGGTTTAGGCTCCGTTTATTTCCATGTAAGTCGTTAGGGACAGTATTTAATGCGGAAAATGCACTACAAAATAACTTTTATATGTATACAACCCACTAACAACAAATAGAAACTTGTTCAGAAAAATGACTTCCTCTTTGCAAGAGAGAGATTTTTTCATACCAGCCCAAGAATCATGGAAATTATTTGCCTTTAGTAATACTCTTTCTGTGCCAAACACAGGAAAATTTTGTAAAAAGCCTAAACCTAGCTTTCTTCTCTATGCACAAGTGTTGATATCAACTCTCTCGAGCCGTTATGCTAATTTTGACAGATCTACTGAACAATGAAAATAAAAGGATGGGAGGTGATAGGAGGAGCATATTTTCTTCAGAAGCTATGTTGTGTTACTTGTCTTTTGCATAATTTCATGCAAACAAAAAAGCTTTTCTGTGGACGAGTGCTTGATCAGTTTAAATTTTTAAATGGATATTGTCTCATGTCGTGAAAGCAGTTATATATGATAAAAATTCACTAGTACTAGTATATTTTATGAATTTGGTACGTTGTCATCATCACATTACTTTAATCCTAGCTATGACGGGGTCAGAAGCACGAAGTTTATAGTGCCAATTAAGTTTCCAAAATTAGTTGGCACTACAGTTTCATAGTTGACACTGAAGTTTGTATTACGTAAGGAAAAACATGATGCTGGCTCACTGGTTGTCATGATGCTCCACCCTAAATTAAATTTATGCGACAGATTCTCTCCTCATATACTTGTGCATAAATTGATATTGGTTCATTCTTTCTCCAAATCTTCAAAAAAAAGTTATGTTCAATTCACAAAGTAGTCTCATGTGGTGGTTACTTTACCATTTTATTTCTTTGTTTGTTGTTATTTAGACTTCTAAAGTAGTAATATTAACACAAATTTGTTGCTTAAAAGTCTTACATTCCCTCATTAATTTTCAGTTTATTGGAACTCCTCACTGGATGGCTCCAGAAGTTATTCAAGAAAGTCGGTATGATGGAAAGGTATAATTGACACTGTAATCTTGTCATGTCTCTTGAGTTCATCCTGGATACTCCTTTTATAGGACTATTACTTGCTGTTTTCCCAAAATGTATCTGTCTATGTCTTTCAGGTAGATGTGTGGGCACTTGGAATATCTGCTATTGAAATGGCAGAGGTATGCTGGTTCCCAAGTCCCTTTTTTCTGTTTATGGATTTGGATTCTCTTTACAATGTAAAAAGTTAATATAGCCATATAGGTGCTACCTTATTGCTAATAAACCACCTCTTTGGATCTTCATTTCAATTAAATAATTTTCTATTGGATTGTACTGTGCCTAAGATCAATGTACATTTAATGAATTCTTTCTCATTGGCGGTGATCAACCATTTCCTCTTTTCAGGGTCTTCCTCCGAGGGCAACTGTGCATCCTATGAGGGTTAGTCTTTGAAGAATCGGTTTTCAATCTTCCAGGGAATATGTCACATGCAGTGTTGCTATTCTACATATGGACTTTAAGATATATACTGCCACTACAAAGATATTTATTAAAAGCCACTACCTGGTAATAAGGTAGAAACAATTCAAGTGAACAAACAAGAACATGAGATTACCATTTATGTATTTCAATATAATTGAATGCATTATGTTAAAAATACTTAGAGGATTAAATTTTTTAAGAGTATTTCAACTAATTTACGTACACTATATGGACCCTTCCATCTCTAGTATTCCTGAACCCCAAGGAAAGAAATAAGTTTTTATACGTGAACACTTCTAAAATTCCTAACTTGAGTATAAACCAAATAATATTTGTTGCTTAAAAACTGATGGGAGGTCAAATATTGAATTTCTAGTTCAGATTATGAATAAAATGCTTAATTCTCTTGAATAGGTGCACTCCGGGTTTTGTTGATGGCATTTATTACAATACTAGCATTTAGTCGCGCAAGGCGCGAGAGCTTTGCCCAATATTAAATAATGTTATTTTTGTAAATAAGTCTTTTGTCCATGCATGGGCGTTCATATTATATCTGAGATTATAACGAGGGGTTTTAAATAGTTTATGACTTCTTTATATCTTTTGTAAATTGTATGATCAATTATATCTTCATTCAATCTAGTATGATGTGAAAATTTGCCTACATAAATTAAACAATGCAAGTGTAAACGTTTTTGTAGTATTACTGTATGAAATAGTTGCAGTGAGAGTAGGATTTTATAATGAATTGTGACAATAGTGTTATTGACCACTTTAAATTATGTGCACAATCAGATTGTAAAAGTATAGGTATTGGATGAATTTGAAAGCTTATTTGTTTGAAAATATTCCAAAACAATGTTATGAATTTAAATGATATTGGATGTATTTGAGAGTAGTAAGTTTGAAAGAAAAATAGAAGAAATTATACTTAAAAATCTCTTTTGAGATATGTTGAATTTAAATAATTAAACTAATATTACTTTAAAATTTAGTTTAAATTATCATTTAATTAGTTATCATTCAAAATCCCTCATTTTGGAGAAACTTAAAAACTGAGCATTTGAGAGGTTTTGGAGGATCACAAAAAATTCTCAAAACCACTTTTCCACATTTTTTAAACTCTCAAACACATATAAGAGAGTCATCAACCCTCACGTCTTCTCCTCCCTCCCAAATTAAAAACGAACTCCCAATTCAAATTTGCCCCTTAAAGAATTCTCTAAGATTAAATATTAACATTTCAAAGAGGTTCTTTTACTTAAAATTAAGCAATTTATAAGCAAAAGATGTAAGAGGATGGGATGTAAAAAAATATGGAATTTTCATTTTTCACATATAAGCTGATATATGGTTGCCTACCCTTGATATCATATCACTCTAGAGTATCCAATTGCAAAGTAGGAGCAAAATCTCTGGGATGTCCTTGAAAACCATGGTGCCACACTACCAACATGTGACGAAGTCAATTCCTTTTAGAATTCCTTTTAGAAGGCATCAAAGTTATGTAGGTTTTTGCATCTGTTATGTCTACTTAAGAGGAGTGTTGGCAGCCTCTTGCCGAACTTCCTAGTGAAAAAGTGCAAATATGTGGATTTTATGAAGAGGACGTGCATAATGAAGCCATAAGATGTATTTGATGAGTGGGAGTTTTGTGCTTCTGATTTTCCAAGTACTGATGCGTTTTAGTGTCGACAAAGCTAAGTAACGGTGAAGGAGTTTAAGCGTGATGTTAAAATGTTAACTTTAACGGAAGTGAAATAATAGACGGCAGTAAAAGGTTAAACAAGTCAAGTTAAAAGTAAGGTACGGATTTTTAACAACAATGTACAAGCTCTTCTACATACAATGTATTGACATAAATAAGGGGTACCAACCCTTATTCACAGTTATAATATTGTTAGATCTCTTCAATGCCTTACAATATTGAATGTTTGAATAGGTGCTGTTTATGATATCAAGAGAACCAGCTCCAATGCTTGAGGATAAGGAGAAATGGTTTGTTCTTTGCTCTTGAATCTTTGCATATGCGTTTTCCTTTAATTTCAGGGTAGAATGCACAAATGGTACCTTGACTATTGGAATTGATGCTTTTTGGTACCCAACTGAACAACTACTAAATAAATAAAACTAGTACCCTAAGTACATCCAATTGTCTCGCTAGCTGTACATTTCCCCCAAAAAAATAAGTAAATTAATTCGCAGAGTTAGTGAAGTCATAAAAAAGTAGAGTGCAATCGTGATCTGCTAGTTACTTTCAAAACGTTTGATTTTGATAACATCAATTATGTGAAATATATAACTATTAAAAATGGAGAATGTATACAGTTTTCAGGCTGCAATTTTATAATTTTAGGCAAAATATCACATGGTACCATACGCTGAAACAATTTAATGTGCATACGGTACTGATTTGCTTCACTCAATACTTGGGTAGCAAAATGCATCAATTGCACTAGAGCTATGGTGCCATTTATGTATTAACCTGAAATTTCAATTTCATATAATTGGATGTGCTCCAACAAATTTGGCACTCCTGTGGTGTATAGTTGCAGGTCTCTATAGTAGGTAAAATCCTTTATGTAATTTGCTTATAGTTGTTTCTTAGGGAATGCATGTTGGCCTTTTAAGACCACTTATGCTTGAATTCTACCCCCACCCCCATTTGAAGTCATGTTTAAACTCATATAGCTGTCAATAAATGTTGATGTGGAACATATATATTTAGGTCTCTTTTGTTTCATGACTTCGTCGCAATGTGCCTTACAAAGGATCCTCGTCTCCGTCCAACTGCAGCAGAGTTGCTAAAGGTACTATGTTCTTTATGTGTTACATTATTTATATGGAGTGTATGTTAGAGTGTATTTTCTGTATGCTCCAATGTGATATCTAAAGTAATAGTTTCCACTGAATTTTGTATGCTTTGCACTCTGTTGACCTCTCATCTGGCCTAAAAATGTTTTTCATGATATATCTCATCGAGCCTGAAAATTTTGATAGGCATTGGTGTTTAAGTGCATATGATGAAAAGTTTAAACTCACAGATTGGCTACATGATTTTCGTGTTTGAGGCAACTTCTCCGTGATATTCTTAATCATGAACTTATACATACTTTCATAATTTTGTACTAAATGGTCTAATGCCAGCTCTTAATTTCTAGTGGCTGTAAATAATAATTATTTGAAAAAACAAAAAGTTATAGGTGCTGTAAGCCTGTAAGACATGCAACTACTTAACTACTTTCCCCACCCAAAAAGATTTTATTGTTAGATTGCTTTTGAAGAATTGAAGCCTTGATTGATGACTCATTTGTTATATGTTTCAATTTCTTTTTGAAGCACAAATTCATTGAGAAGTGTAAAAGTGGAGCTTCTGGAATGCTGCCCAGGATACAGCAAGCAAAGGAAATTAGATCTTCCATGACTTTAGAAGCTCAGAAAATTGTATCATCAGCCACTCTACGAGATGTATGCTTATTATTATTGTTGTTGTTGTTGTTGTTATAATTATTATTAATTTCATCATCATCCAAATGATTCACTATAACCCAACTGCTTTTTCAAGTTATGTTTAGAAAAAATCAAATTTTATTCTTGAAGTGCAGTTAGGAGGTGACCCCAAAGTAAATGAATCATTTGGAGATACAGTGCCTGCTGGTCTGCAAGTCTCTGATGTACTATCATCTGCAATTAATGTGGAGAATCATGATTCAGTACATATAGAAACTGATGAAGAAGGTAACCCTATTAGATTACATCCCATATCACAAAATCTGAACTTTTTCCTTGGCAGGTTAGCTTCACTTTTGATTTACCTCAGTAATGTGATTAACTCAAATAACAATGTGAATAAATAACTAGTTATTGAGCATTGATTAACATTTTATTTCACTGGTTACAAATGGACCCTAAAAGTGAGGCAAATTCTAAACAAACAGGTGACTTTGGGACAATGATAGTTCGAGATGCTAGTAACACAGCTACAACAGCTACTCAGATTGCAGTCCGAGACAAAGAACCGTCCCCTTCTGTAGAACCTACTGGAAATGCCCATGTCCCTGGCCATGAAGAAAAAACAATTGACCCTAGGTATTCTCTCCCCTCTCTTTTGATAACCCTTCAGGAAAAAAGGACTAGGAAAACACTAATTGCCACTTGTCAGAAAAGTCATGCAGATGGAATGTTCTCAACTTTTTCAAAGTTTGGAGTTCAACAACTGCCATTACACAAACGGATTATATTTACACTATGCTATCAACTCCGGGGGGGAAACTACGGGTAGGCGAATAATCTGAAGGTTTGCGTGTGGACTATGGAGTCACATGATTAATGACTTAAATGAGAATGAGATTCCTCAATTGCTCACTGTATGGTTGTTTCCAGTATGTTGCTCCTTTTGTTGAAACATAAATGTATCTTACCGTGAAGGGTAAGATACATGTCATATGCCTAGACGTGTTACGTGTATGTGTGACTTTCTTAAGGATTATATGGTAGGTAGAGGTTCCTATGATGCCACTTATTTTTCAACATCATCCAAGAAGAGTTTTTGGTTAGAAGGGACTATCTTTAGCTACTTTTTTACAGAATCATCTTTAAAGCTATTTTCTTTAATAAGAATTTGTGTAGTGTAGCTGATACTTGCATATATGGTGGCATCAGGCTATACAGTGAAGAGAGTCTTAATTCCACAAGTGGCGCATCCCAATCCAGACAAGGGAAAGCCTCTTCTCCTGCAATGCTTGCTCCTCCACTTTTATCCCCCCCGCCGGGCAACATTTTTGTAACAAAAGGTCCCTTGAAGAGTGAAGCTGTCAGTCAAAAAGCTGTAGAAAAGGTACTTTTTCTCCCTCTTTCTTGCCTTTTATCTATACATGTAAGTTAGTATTGTTTCCTTTGAATTTCATTATCATCTTCACCTTAATGCTACATTATTGGAGTCAGTGGTATGAAACTTGTAGCATCAGTGACTCATGAAATGAATTTAAACTAGGGACAAAAAATTTGTCGTGCCCGTGTTTCCATTTGCATCCTCATTGCGGAGGAGTAATGAGATAACTTGAAAACCATCACCATAGGTTATCTTGATTCTTGACCTGCATGAATATTATCATGAGACAGCAATGTGGTGCAATAATTTCCATAGCCATGTTAGATTGAAGGTTGATTTTAAATGTTGAGAATAAAATTTGGACCAACTCCAACAAAAAAAGAGTTCTAGAGGTGGGGATTGTCAACACTTATGATTATGAAGAGGTTCTTTTTTTTTATGAAGAGGTTCATTTATTCATATTTAGCAAATGTGGTACACTCTTAAATCAATATAAAATCAACTTTTAAATCATGAAACTGGATTGAAATTGCTTTGTTTGATTTTATTGATTCAGATTGCTTGAATGCAACTCATGCATATGTTCTTTGTGTATAAATATATTCTTCTAGCTCCGTTCAATATACTCAGCTGGTAATACGGTACCAATCCCGTTCGTGAGAGCATCTGATATATCACCAATTGCACTTCTGTCTGGCAATATGCTTGGGGCCTGGCAAGAAGATGATACTTTGCATGAGCTTTTCTGTCGCGATGCTCAGTCAAAAAAGGGCCGAAGTAGACAAAACGAGGTCCTTTTTTATTTCTCTATTACTTTTTGGTTTTCTAATCTATCCCTCTCACCCCAACTGATGATTGCCTTATAGGTTCCCTTGCCTCCAAGTGTACATCAGCGACTATCTTCTAGTCCTACCTTAATGAACCTAACACAAGCTTTGGCTTATCACAGGATGTAAGATCTTTCAACTCATACGCTCCTCAGTCCCTCTATAAATAAATAAAACAAGAGTCAAAAGCCATGACATTACATTTACAAATTATTTGTTAGTTTAACTCGTTCTTATCTTATTTTGAAATAGTTACTTGTTGGATATGACTCCAGGTGCTATGATGACATGCCTCTTCAGGAAATGCAAGCTACACAAGAGCAAAAGACCATCCAAAGCCTTTGCGATACACTAAAAACTATTTTGCGGTTATAAATAGATGCTGTTTATTTATAGTTTTTTTATATAGAAAATGACATTATCTAACTCGAGTATTCATTTATTTGGATTACATTGAATATGATTGCAATCCGTAAACAATACTATCATATTACACTGTGCAGCCTAGAACATCTAAGAGCAACACAAACCGATTATTGCCTTAAACTTCTGTGACCTTTTCCCTCTATGAAGCTTGCAACAAGAGATATCTCTCCACATAGCTAATCAGGAATGCACCACCAACCTATATAGTCATGAAAAGAGCTCTTAGTGACAAGTGGAGGTGGTCCAAATGCACCATGTCCCACACTTACTATATTCCTCATGCTAGAGGTCTTGAGTTCAAGTCACTAAGGAGGTGAGTTTGAGAAGATTTTCTCAAGTGAGAATCCGCTAACCCCAAAGTTAGCTTGAGTGTGTGAGTTATCTTCTTGCTAGAAACTTGATTATTTTATACCAATCGATGGCAATTCTCCTGGGAGCTATGCTGGGAACCAGATGACACGTGAAGTTAATCAGTTAAGAGCGGTTTTTATGTGAGTTCTTAGGAATCTGCAATTAGCTCGACGAAGTCGGGGTCACGTGGTGTGCCCAAAAAAGAAAATGAAAGACTGAAAGAGCTCTCAAATTAAGCCATAGGCTCCACCCCTGTTAGACTAAATCGGCTTCAAATAGATCAAGTAGATTAGATCAAGACTTGAGCGATTACTAAAATAAACATCTATCAAACCTCTACCAGATCAAGCCATATTTCAAGAGATCAGATCAAGCCAAAGAAATTCGATATAAGTGAAAATGTCCTATAAACAACCAAAGTTACTAGTTAATTCCTTTTTGGCAACATCTAGATCATTGCATTTCTTTTACACGCAATATACGAGCTAATGTTTATTATATTTTGCCGACCTCGAGGTTTGGACTCAAGAGAGTAGAGACTGTAGTTTGTTTTCTTCTTTGATCTTTTGTGAGGTCAATAACTTCTCCTTTATCATTGCAAACCGCACAGTACAAACACAAGATAGTTGAGTAGTCTAAATAAGATAAGGGAGTGTTTGCAATTGCTTCAACTTTAAAAAAGTGATTTTTTAAAGTGATTTTGGGAAAAGTGATTAATAGTAAAAGTTGATAGTGTTTGAGAAAAAAGTGATTCTGGAAAAGTAAAAGTTAGTAGTGTTTGGTAAAATAAGTAATTTTTGTGTAATAGAAAAAGTGAGAAGCAGTTTAAAGCACTCTTCTACCTGCTTCCAGCTTTTAGCTTTTAAGTGAGAGTTTCACTAAATGTTTTTCCTTTTAGAAATTTAACAGGTTTCACAATATTAACACCCAGCTGTGGGTTTGATTAATATTTTATACTAGAAGTACCTTATCAAAAGATCACAAGTGCAGGTTGGTCAAAGAAGACTTTTTTTTTTTTTTGGGGGGGGGGGGGGGGGGGGGGCAATAAACTCAAGAATGTTCCCATTCAAATAATCCACATGTGAATCCCTCTCAAATTCAATAGACAAAGCTTCTGAACAAGGGGGAGTTCAATAAACACCCCTTTACATGCATATCTCAAATATGCTAACCATTCTTCTCATCACATGCTAACCACTCCATATACTTGAATGAATGTAGAAACCACAAGACATTGTGCTTTTGTCAATTAGGTATTAATCCCTGCACATATCGAACTGAAATTACTTTTATCAACCATGGAAAAAGTATCTTGCTGCTGTCAAAAGAAGAAGAAATTACAAAGTCCAAACTAGCTTCAGTATTGTTTTGCATGACAAAAGCTCGCCTGTATGTTAGCTGTTTAGGTGATGTTCGCACTTCGCACACCATAAGCTAGGAAGCATGTACGCTACCTTCAATTCTAACCTCAAACTTATTAAACATATCCTTATGTCATTTGAAGTTCCTAAACTACTTTATGAACTAATCTTTACTCTCTAATTTATATTTGTTCATACTCATTTTATTGATCAATTTATATAACTCAAAGACTAAAACCAGTTAACCTAGGTTCTCTTAACATGGTTTAGGCTTCAAGTCATTTGGGTAGGGTATTTATGACCAGAATCAAGATTTTCAGAGAATTTGGGTTCACCTAGAAGAAGTTTTGAAAATCCAGATTTCCGAATCAGGGTGTTCAGAAGCTTGAATCCTCCTTGTAAATGCAATGTCACTTGATGATTTGGAGAACCTCATCTAAACATTATTTAATTACATCCACCTACACTAATTGACCATGGGTTCACTCAATAAGTACTAAAACGAACAAGTTGTAAAACGAGTAATCATATTTGACATTGTATTTCATCTTTTCATCATCTGACATGGACCATCCTTTTCATCATGTTCCTTTTCTTGGATCCAAATAGAGCAGTAAAAATGAAATGTGTTTCAAAAGATACCCGGATGCTAAAGGGTCTCCTGAAGCTCCGGGAGGGTTTCTTTACTTGATTTCATCTTCATATCTTCTTCGTACTTCTTCAACCGTTCATTCCACATCTCCTTCAATTTTAAATAAGATGTAAATCAAAAGGGGTAATGATCATGATGTAAATTGAAAGGGCAATATTAAAGCAAGCATGGGGAGTATATAAACACCTTGTACTTGAGTTCAGCTCGATGCATTACATAGAATCCAAGAACGCCTCCAGCAATTGTGCCTGTAATTATCCTAAAGTAACCCCACCTCGGCGATCTCATTTCTCACTGTTTTTCGTTCTTCTTCCTCTCGGCGTTTCCTTTCAGTCGGACTCCATACTTCCCTCTTTGAAGCGACGAATTAAAATACTACGTATTTGAATTTCCAAATAAGACCCTTCATCAATTCCATGTTGGTTCATAATAAAATAAAATAAAATATCATTAAAATAATACTTGCAGGCAAAAATACGATTAATGTAATAGTGAGTATAGTTCTATGATTACTAAATTAAAGTTTAAACATGAATAAATCGTTATTAAGTCACACTTTTGTTAAATATATCTTTTTTAGTTCATCATTACCTCAGTGCCGCAGAGGCTTCCACCTACGGTGGGGTAGGGGGTCGGATGTACGTAGTCTTGCCCCTGTACTGAAGCACATAGATACTGTTTCCGGATGATCCACAGTGAAAATTGCGTCAAAATATCTCCTTTAGTTATATATATATTAAAAATTATTTTATATTCCTAAGGAGAAGGGTTGTTTACTTACGACTTAATTGACTTTATCATTCAATCATTAAGTCATGTTTACTTACGACATAATTGAAAAAAAAATTAATTTATTCAGTCAGAAAGTTGACTTACTCATTAATCTATTAGAGTTTTATCTCAAATTAATGTTTTGTGAATTGTGATTTATGTTTTGTACTATTACTTAAAATCTATAAATTATGTAATGTGAAAATTGTTAAACTGTGTGGATATTTAGAAGAAGACTGAACTTTAATTTCCCGGAAAAGTGACATTGTTTGGTATCAGTATAACACAGTACCGTCCCATTTGAAAACGAAATCATACCGAACGAGTTTAAATCTAAGACCGAACCGAACCCGACCATTTTAGTAATCATTGTCTAAGTATGAGTTTGGCAAAATATAGGAGTTGACCATACTTGCCCACCTTTGGCTAAGGATTTGTTTGCAAAAGTTTAAAAAATACATTTTTCGGTCTTTGGACTAAAAAAGCTAAAATTAGTGTTTTCAAATAAGAACTATGTTTAAAAAGTGTTTCTCGACTTTTGGCTCAAAAGTATTTTTTAACCTTTTCTATCACATAAAAAACACATATTTTATCAAATTCTACCAACTTTTATTTTTTAAAATCATTTTTTTTCAAACATTATCAACTTTCACGGCTCTTAACTAAAAAAAAGTGTTTTTTAAGAAAAGTATTTGCAAACGCTCCCCTCCTCCCAACACGCCGCCGCCGCTCTTCCTCCTCCCACCTGAACTCTCTCTAGTTTACCGATGACCACTCTAACGCCGTAACGTTCCGCTGCTCTAGAGGGACTTCAGCATCTCAAGGGAGCCGATGATGACGATTCATTGACTGTGACACTCAGAGCCGTCAGCGGACCATTGAGTTCTTCAGCGAGCGAGCGGAGATCGAAGCTAACTCCTGCTAGAACGGAAAAGGGCCACCATCGCGCCAATCTTGTCCGAAAAACCCACTGGCCTTGCCGGAAGCTGCGCAGTAAACGGAGGATTTCTCCAGAGGTCATAGGGCTCCCTTTCTGGTGATTCCGCCGCTGCAAACGCCGACGATCGTATATAACAAGAGTATAAGAGAATTATGAGCTCGTTTATTGGTGGGACTCATCGCCCTGCCCCCATCAATATTAGTGGGCATTGAGATCGATTGTTACATAGACAGGCAAACATTTCCCAAGCCTTCGCTTCAACCGTGGATGATTTCCAATACAAAATGAGAAAGACTGGCTTTTTGTTTAAAACCCATGCTGGAAAGTTCTCTTTTTCTTCTTGCTCAGCGTTTTGTCACTGTCCACATCGCCTTCACCCCTCAGTACCAGTAGAACCAAGCTTCCAGAACCCATCTAATGTCCTTCAGAAATTCATAAAACCAGGCCAGAATTTTGCTGCTTCTTTAGCTCTGAGGCACTTGACCACAGCCCATTCCGAATATAAAGGAGACCAATCAAGCAGAGAAAACTGCCCAATCAACTGTAAGTCCTCCTTTCTTTCTCGGTATTATATGAATTTAAAGTCTAAACTTGGGATTCCTTTCCCCCATTTGCCCTCCAGGGCTCAAGGTGTATGATTTTTTTCCTTTGGGGATTTATCTTGGTTTCTTGTTGATATTTTTACACTTAATTTGAAAATGTTCTCTTTTTTGTTGGCCTATAAACATATACTCCCTCCGTCCCCTTTTAAATGTCCCGGAACAGGGCGGCACGAGTTTTAAGAAAAGTGGGTTTGTGTGGTTGATATTAATTGATAAAGTAAGAATAAAGTAAGAATGATTTTGAGTCACACAAACTTTACCAAATAAGGTATGAGACAATTAAATAGGGATATCCCAATATGATAAAACGGGACATTTAAAAGGGGACGGAGGGAGTACTTGTCTATATTTCTCTAAAACTGTGACAATCTTGTTCAGTGGTTCTGGCTGTTTAATCTATATCCATGTTTATAATTTCTATATCCATGTTTATAATTTTAGCATTTTTTTGTTATGCATGCACAATTTGTTGCAAATTTAGATGATACAAGTGAAGAGGCGGAACCAATTGATTATTGGGAAGAAGAGGAAGAAGTTGAACCTGAGGTATACATATAACTCTGTTTCTTTGCTAACTATCTCTTCGACAGTTTTTTTGCTTTTCAAGTTTTATACGGAGTATTTTACTTGAAAATGTTAATGAGGACCTGCAAAC